CTTTCATTTTTATTGCAGTATCTCACTGATATTTTGCATCGCTTTGAAATTTGATCCAGGACTCATTGGTTTCACACTATGGCCTATCTTCAGGAGCTATTCTTTGAAATTATTGAAAGCTGGTAATTTCCTAGAATTACTACAGTTCTACAGCCAGCCTCTTTTCCCATTAGCAACACCTGTAAATCTCCCCACCCCAAGTTCAGTCTGCAGTTTCTGGAACTTGTTACTTCTTTGTATGGATTATATTCCTTTCTGTGGAATATATCTGCCCTTTCCCCCTCAATGCAAGTGTGGCTGTTATTCCTTATTTGATCCCAATTACTGATAAAATCTCACACGCTAAATGTTTTTCTCCAAATGGCAGGTACATTTAATAATAAAAAATAATAATTCATATAACTTGTATGCTGCCAGGCTCCCAACAATTCTTGGAATAGATTTATTCAGGAAAATTATGCAAATGTATTAATCAGCAATTAGGTACATGAATATTAATCAATAATTCAGTTCCATAAATTTTGTAAGTGCATTCAAAAATATCCTTGTTTTCATCAAGAGAGCCAAACTAAATCACCAAAACTGACAGGCAAAAAAGAAAGAAGAATCCCAACTGCTGAAGCAATATGTAATCTCGGCCTTGGCAACTGTGGAAAACACCTGGTTGCAAAATTGCTGGTCATTAATTTTCACAGCTTTGAAATGCAATAGAGGATGGTGGGAAGATAATTAGGAAGCTATGGAGGGTTTAATGACTTTTGTTTATATTTCTTTAACATAGCTTCCAACAATTGTAATTTCTTATTTGATTTTCCAAACAAAATGCTTAGGCATATATATATTACAATGGATGTAGGTATCTTAACATCAAATGCTATTTCTTTTTGTGTGGAAGGGGTAGGGTAATTGTAATCTGCTACCAGGTAGTAAGACAGAACACTTATTTACATTCCTCTATGCCTCAGGCTTTTTTCTTTTTTTCCCTTTTTTCTTTTCTTTTTCTTTTTAGAGTCAGTTTCGTGTAGTCATTAAGATACCAGGATAGAAACTAGGAGGCCTTGAGCTCAAGTCCTATCTTAGACACAAAGCCAGCTTGGTAACCTTTTGCCAAACACTCTCCTTCAACCCTCAGAAGAACACAATGGCAAATCACTTCTGAAAATCAATACTGACTCAAAGGCACAAAAAAATAGATAAATAAAAATTTGTCAGCTTTAAGGAAAGATATGAGCACTGATTGGCTCAAAGTATTTCTTGTATTTCAAGGTCAAAAGAGCCAAAGATGATTTTATTCTATTTATTTATTTATTCAATTTATATGCCGCCCCTCTCCGAAGACCCAGGGCGGCTCACAATACACTCAAAAAATCACTATAAAAACACTTAAAAATTAAAAACATTAAAAACATTAAAACCCACTCACACCATTCATGGACAGATCTCGTCAGATCGCAAAGCGAGATAATGGCCTCAGGCCTGCTGGAAAAGCCAGGTCTTCACCGCTTTTCGGAAGGCCAATAGGGTGGGGATGGTCCGGACCTCAGGAGGTAACTGGTTCCAGAGAGCTGGGGCAGCCACAGAGAAGGCCCTCCCCCGCGGGCCCGCCACCCGGCATTGTTTAGCTGACGGGACCCAGAGGAGACCAACTGTGGGATCTTAGCGGTCCCTAGGAGCTATGCGGTAGAAGGTGGTCTCGAAGATAACCTGGCCCTGAGCCATGTAGAGCTTTAAAGGTAATAACCAACACCTTGAAATTTAAGACCTTATTTAAAGTACCTGACAGAAATATAATTTAAACATCATGTTTGGAGAATGAAATTAAGGATCTTCCTCTTTTTCTTCTAAAAAATTAAAATAAAGTATGTTTTGTGGATGTGTAAAAAAAGCTATAAATTCTTCTCTCTTACTGTCATTTTAACCCATCCTGACAATGGATCTCAATGATGATCATAATCAAAATTCTGCATCTTCCTGTTCACATGTGTACAGAGAGTTCTGCCAAAAAAGAGAATTTTAGCAGTAACGTTTTTCTCATTCTCTCATCTTGGGCAAGTGATAAGAGGAACCTGTAATACTGACAAGCAGGACAAATTGCAGGGGTACACTCCTTAACATTGTGATCTGGCTACTTTAGCTGAGAACATTTCCATTACATTAAGAATTTGATGGAAATAATCTCATTTAAAATATTCCATGCAAATGTTGAAAAGAAACACCACCACCCACCTTTAATATGTTTAGCCTAGAGTCAAATAACAATCCAGCTTGTTTTTGAAATGGAAGGGAACTCAAGCAATTTATACTGCAGTAAGATAGCAGTTCCTCAAGTTGTAATCCTCCATATTTTCTAGAATTATGCTTCCAGAATTCCCAGATGAAGGAACATATCAACAACATATCTGAAACAAACTAAAATGGTACTATGGGTTTATTAACAGAAAAACAGAGAATTTTGTCTTGCTATATACCCAGTCCTTTTGACTTATTCATTCATCATCCATTTCAACAAGTGATTTTAAGCAATATAATCCTATCCAAGTTTACAGTGCTTGAAAATAAATCCCTTCTCAATCAATTGAATATATTCCTTCCTAAAAATGCTTAGCATTGCTACATTAATTGCAATTAAAAAAAAAACTTGATCATAATATGTCTGCTGTCTACTGTTACACCTATATTTGACAGCTACTGTTATGCTGATATTATGATCAATCCTTTGTCTGGCATATCACCTGTTATTTACATAACTCTTTTCAATTCTTCTTATATTCCGTTTGATTTAATTATATCCATATAGTTTTTATATTATGGTTTGCTCCACCTTTGAGCAATTTAGTGCAAATAATAGGATAAATTGTATTCAAACATTTTTCACATTAAGTAAGTTGTGTGCATATTCAAATTTATTTTACAATAATATGTAAAATAATGATCAAATATTGTTACATATTTAAAAATGATGCCATGTTTTTTTCTTTAGCTTTAGCATGAAGATAAAACTAGCTGAAAAAAGAATCAAATGTATGCACTACTATATTTGGTCCACTGTTTTAATATATCTACTGCATATGGAAACTGGTAGGTTTGATAAAGAAATGTAAAATAAGAAAAAAAGAAAAAGTGTTAGTCAAATGTGAACATTAATTCTAAGCAATTTATACTGTTCAGTCCTGTGACATTTGTGAGAAATGAATCAATGCCCTCTTCTCTTATTAAAAAGAGCTAAATTATTTATATAAAAACTACAGATACCCATTCCTAAAGATATGAGTTTAGCTATTCCAAAGCAATGGAAATAAAATGGATTATGGGCCTTAAAATCTAGCCAAATTATTATAGCATGACACACATAAATTAACTTGAACCAATTTTATATGAAGAAATATTATGTCACCTTCAGTTGGCAAGTATCCATAGATTCACCAAAAAATTGCAGAATAATATGAAATGTTCCATTTTGAAACAAATCAAAAGTCAGATATTTTTTTCTTTACTTTCTTAGAAAAAATATCCAAGTCATGAAGAATTATTTATTAAGTCTATTAAAATGCCATTAAAAATAGTAAGTTTTTAAATTCTCTGAAATTCTTCCTTTAACCCAGATATTGGGGGGTGGGATGTTAACTTAAAATTTAATTGCTTGGTGATCTTTTGAGGGGAATTATTTCTAAAGAAAAGGAAAAAAATGGTAAAAATTAAAGGCCTGAATGAAGTTGGAAACTGATAACACTATGGACAGCATGACAAACTGTGTTGATTTTCTTTGAACGTACTCTCTATATCTACAAAGGAGCCAACTGATAGTCAATTAAAATATAATGAAAACTTAACAATGGAACAGAGAAGAAAAAAAATCAAAACGTCATTTCAATAAAACATTATAAAAAATAAACACAATGATTATAATTGAAAAGTAATAAAATTTTAATGTAGAATTAAATTCACACTAATAATAAAAGTATGAAAGTTAATTTTATAACTTTTTAAGAAGTTATAAAATTTAAAGATTTTACATTTTAAAAGAATTCTGTTTTGACAATTTTCTTAAATGAGGATCCTGTTAGTGCAAAATGCCAAATTAAGAACTAATATGTTAACAATCATAATAAAGATTGTAGAAAGGAACTGGCAAACAACAAAGTTTATTTTTCCAAAATAGTTTCCACAAATTTAACACAAATTTCAGGTATTATCTGAAATTATAGATAAGAGTATATCATTTCTTCAAATGTGGTCAGTTAGTTACAGTTTAATTATTGTGACATTGTCACTTTTATTTGTAATTATATCAGAATAGATATTGATACAATTCTAGGATGCAGGTCCAGGCCATATTGTAAAGAGTGTGAGGTTTTGAGGTTGTTAAGAATCAAAAGAACTATTATATAAACTGTGTTTTCTTTAACTTTATTAGTATAGTACATATTATGCTTGACAGAAAATCCCGAGTTTTAAGGAATTGGGTAGGGCAAAGTGAGTTTTTATTTTACAAACTCTAAGGAAAAATATCAGCAGTGCTGAGTAACAAAAGTTTTTTTTTCCTTTTCCTTTATTTCATTTTATTATTTGAAGTTTTAGAAAAACTATAACTCAGTTTGGTTAGAATTGGAAACGGTAACTAACTCTGAGATCTTGGAGAAAAAAAGTAGAGAAAAATCAGTAAACAAAGGAACTCTTGACTAGACACGTTCTCATTATCATTAGGAGAAAATAAAATGGCCTTGGATGTTCCCTGATTCCTAGGGGACTGCCTGCACTCTAGGTTTCAGGGCTTTATATAAGTTTCAGACATGGATAGTTTTACATCAGGACTTCCATTCCTCAGCTGCTATCAGCAGCTGGTGATTACTTCAGCCAGCTGATATGCCCACTCTCCTATATACACATTCTCTCATTTTTGCATTACTCATAGTTTGAAAATCACTTTGACTACTATAACATAATTATGTTAATGTCAAATGAGTCACTGAGAAACAGAAAGCTCTTGTGTATCAGACTTCAGTTCTAGGTCAGTTTCTGAATGCGGTGTATACTTCTACACCACAGAAGGATGGGGCCAATCAGAGGTAAGCAACAGAATTACTGGGTAGTGAGAGTCGTTAAATTACAAGCCTGGGTTAGAAGGAAAGTTGATTTTAATGCAATTCAGGGTCACTGGTTTATTATTTCACAGGCAAGCTAGCAGGCAGCTATTTCTAGTAAACAAGTTAGAACTATATGGAGGGAAAGTTTGGACACTTTTTTTTCTTTTTGAGCACTCTTAAGCACAAGGACGGAGGCAGAAGGAGAAGGAGAAGCTAACGTAGGATTAAGTATGTTTAAATCCAGTGAAATCACTGAAGATGTGTCTAACTTTGGTTTGAATAATACAATAGTTAACTATCTAGATATCAGCAATAAGTGTCACATGTACAGTGCTTTCCTTTGTAAATTGACTCAGAATAAAGCCTCACTTAGCACAATGGATTTATGGATTAGAAACATTATATAATGCATTCAAGTTTAAGTATTTATCTTGTGGTGGGCCAAGTATTTCCTCTCTTTTTCTAGGTTTCTAATTGTGTAAAACTATGTTTTGTAACAAACAACAATGGGCTATGAGAAAATATCTATAGCTCTAGCAACCACTACAGTAAAGGATCTCTTGAATATTGCTCAAAAATGAGAAAACAGTAGTAGTTTTAAAGCGAATTTAAAAAAATGTCTAAAGACATCTATCTACATACATACTCTATCCAACCATTTTTTCTACTTGCTTAATTTTCATGTATATGAATGTTGTCTTACTGTTATGTTTTGAAACTTGATTGTATACTGTTGATTGTTATATTATGACATTTTATGATAGCAGGATTGGGGTGTGATTGTTGTTACTTTTTTACTGCAGACGGTTCATTGTTTAGCTATTATATCGGTTCTAGAATTGGAGTAAATTATTACAAGTTATAATGAAATTCGTGGCATGCACAGTAGCTAAATAAATTCCTCTCTCTAAAGAAGTTTCCCCATTTCTTACAAGGAAATATATTCATTTAAAACTGACCTGTTTGATAAGCAAAGCACCTTTTTATTTAAAGTACTCTATACTTTGAATAAGATGGACTAATACGTAGATCTTATTTTCAGCCAGTTTATCTTGTACAATCTTAATGTTGTCATGCTAAGGAGCTTTACAGGCTACTCAAGCATTTCTTTCAGAATTTGGGTTTAATGGGTGGCTATTTCTACAATTAATATGTATTCTATATTTTTCAACAAGAATGCTGATATAAGTAACTTGTTCTTTTACTTTTTTGTACATCAAAACATTGGTCCCAGTGATTTTGATTCACATATATGTAGCAGTTTACCCATGCTAAAGACATGGTTAAGAAATTATTTACTCAAATGAACATAATACATATTTTCCCTAAATGCAAATATTTGCTGCCAGGATCCCAGTCAGAAGTGGGACTGTTATTATTTTATTAAATAGTTTTGATTCAACTACTAACAAATATTCTCTGAGCATATAACAAAGTAAAAGAATAAAATGACAATATAATCCAAGGAATAAAATGACAATATAATCCAAGGAAAAAAGAAGAACAAAAACATCCATACTAAACATCCCAGTTTAGTATGATCAGTTACAAATAACAAAATTAATACCTACCCCTTAATTTGCTCATTGACCTCAATGGGCTTTAGCAAATTTAGAGGGATTTTACGAAGGTTAGTTGTGGAGAAGAGACAAAATACTCCAATTGATCAAAACAACTTCCAGGATTGTGGTCTCATATCTGAGCTGCACTTTTCTTTGCATCTATAAACACATTTGATGCAAATTTTATGAGGGGGGTGTTTCTTGAATGAGGAAAGTTTAGAAGTGTAACCGTGTTTATCTGTTTAAATAAGAACAGCAATTGTACCCTATAAAACGTTAGCAAAAGGTATGATTCCTGCTAAAATTTATATTTTAAAATCTGTTTTGTTTCACGTAAATAATCACCTTACTTTTTCACTAAAATCAGGGACAATCAAAGAGTTTCGCTTTTTACAACATACTTAGCCATATATTGAACAGTATCCTCTCACCCCTCTCTTGTACATAAAACAATATAGAGCTCTTAATTCAACTTATCATCAGAAACACAATTTCAAGCAAAAACATTTTGTAGGCTGATGCAAAGGAATATTACACTTGCAAAAAAAAAAAAAGGAACAGTACAGATTTCTTTGGTGACTATCATTACAAATAAGCTGCTGTCAATATAGCTGCAGCAAATTTTCTGAATACTCTAAACTTTCAGGAAAGAAAATAGATAACATTGTTACAGCAATATGATTATTTACATTTGTTTGTATAGTTCTGAAAAAAGGGGGAGTCTCTTTATAGGCATCCTCAAAAATTATCTGAGTAAAATACCACAGGCATAACCAGGGTTTACATGTACCTGAGAGAATGGAAAGGTGAGCCATTCAGCTGTACTCAGAATGTGAGGCCATCATCCATCTCTTCGAAAACTCCATGTCTATCTGTTATCCTGACTTTTCATCTTTCTTGCTGCCTTCTCCTTCTGATCTGGGACTTCTGTTAATAAACTCAATCTCCTTTGCCCCTACAGCCCCCAACGAACCAACTGTTGTTACTAAACTGAGTGGAAATGCTAAGTCACATAATAGGTGACTAATAAGCGCCCTATAATTCTTCACTAGCCATGATCTAAATATGAAGCAATAGCATCATCTCGACCTTAAGGTGAGTGAGGGGCTATATTTCAGAATGGTGCCCCTTGTTCCAAAGATAGCCTACTAAAGGCAAGATCTGTTGCTTAAAAGCCATTAGAGTTATAAATATTTCTCTATGATCCTTTACTGCTCTATTAAGTCATTTTCTGCTTTTTGGTATTTACTTCAAATGGTTTATTTTTTGAAGAACAGAGACTTTTCAAAAGAGCATTTAAAAATTTACTGTAATTTAAAAAACAAAATATTACATTGTAATGTGTTGATACAAAATTGGTTGAAAAGAGTTGCTTATAAAGTACTGGTAGTCCTCAACCTACAACCTTATGTTTAATGACCATTCAAAATTACAATGACATTAAAAAAAGTGGCTTATGACAATTTTTCACACTTATGACCTTTATTCTCATGGTCATGTGATCAAAATTGGGATGTTTGGCAACTGACTCATATTTATGATGGTTGCAGTGTCCCAGGTTTTGTAGCCTTCGAGTGAGCAAAGTTAATGGGGGAGTCAGATTCACTTAACAACCGTGTCACTAACTTAACTACTGCAGTGATTCACTTAACAACTGTAGCAAGAAAAGTTGTAAAATGGGGCAAAATTCACTTAACAACTGTCTCATTTAGCAACAGAAAATTTGGGCTCAAATGTGGTTAAGTCAAGGTCTACTTGTAAGCTGTATGAGAGTGTGTGAAAAACTGAATAACGTCGGTTTAGAAAAATAAACCTAAGTTCAAATTTTTGACAGTCATGATGCTCAACTAAACCTGACCTGTCTCATAATACTACCATAGTGAGATAAACATAAAGTGGAGAAGGAAGAAAAACATGTTTGTCATAATTCTTTCAAAATAAGATGAATAAAAATGGCATAAATAAACTATGCATTCCTAAAAAAATTATGCTAATAGGAATATAAGATAGGGACTGTTAATATAGTTATGAAAATGTTAATATACAATGATATAAAACAATATATACAGCATTGCAATATAAATGTCCACATGGGGCTGGGGAAGTGATATCACTTGCATAATAACATCATTGTGCAAATTGTTATGTAATTCATGCCAGTCATGTGGTGTGACTGACGCAAAGGCAGAGGACAGGTCTCAATTTAGCATATAAAAGGGAACTTCACAAAAATTAATAATCTCATTTGATGAAGAGAGGCAATTTATCAACCACCTATTATTAATTTTAAACTTTGCTCAAAGGAGGTAGCTATTATAAGCAGGAAGAAGAAAACACTTTCCTAGGCCTTTCATCTGTTTTCTGTCAGACCAACTAAATGTCCTTGATAATTCAGAATAAAGCTTAAGAAAACAACTTTTCTCCTTGAATTTTGCATGATTGGTAGACATTGACAGAGTTCCTTCACTAAGCATTTTTCAACACTTTTTGAAGCCTATTCTGTGTCTTCCTAGCCCTATTCCATTAGCCTAATGGTCAGACCACTATCAAGAGTGGCAATAGTAGGACTGGCAGAACAAAGCTCAAAAAATCTGAACAACCATCTCTGCCACCTTGTTTGTGCTTTTTGCTACCCATATTTGATAGCCTTAGGCAATGACTCAAGTGATCCTTGTTTTTTTTTTCATTACAGAAAACTCTGGCATATCTGACTTCAAACCATAGTAGAGATATGAGTTATAAACTACTCATGACTCTATATGACAACTACATATTTGGAACAAAAAGTGAAATTTGGGTATTATTATAGGTGATGTATTTCATCAATGTTGAACTGCATTTTTTTCTTTCAAATACATCAGTTTCTGCTGCACTTCAATTTGACAACTTCCTCAAAATGCATTACAATTTAATTTAAAACATCTTTAAAATAATGAAATGTCCCAAGATTGCTATTAGGGCAGACCAATCAAAATTTGCATTCTCCAGAACTCTTCATGAGCCTAGATGAAAGGCAAATAGGATAAGAAAATAACACTGGATACTATTTTATTTATTATAAATATATAATTTCTACCTTGCTTGTATTATGCACTATTTAGGGTGGCTTATGTTAACACAGTAAATTACAATTTAATTGCAGTAAGATAATAGCATAATTACATGAAAAATTTTTTGATAACAATCTAACTCCTGCACTCCACCACTATTAAAGAAAGTATCAACTTGAGAAAATTCCACGGTTATAATGTAATCACAAGATAATCCTTTTTCTCATTCATATTATCTGGATCTCCACCATAGTTAAAGCTAGGAAGCTAATTCAGGAGAGAGGCAATCCTAAAATATCTTGGACTTCAATCTTTGAGAAATTTGAACTGTACTGAATTGTGCCTGAAAACAAATCTAGTGTAGTGTGTAAGTAGTGTGTTCTTTTGGTTTGGTAATGCTTATCTGCATTTTTATCTGACCCTTGCATCATTCATTAATTTACAAGATTTTATGAGCATCATGATACAGGTAATGTAGTTCAGATTAATTACAAGCTTTGTGTCACTAAAGTCAGGTCTGACCTCATCAAGAATAGGTATCTATTTAATATCTATTTACTATCTATTCAAACTAGGGAAAGTTACTTATAACCTCAGTTTCCACATACTTGCAGAATTTACAAATAACTAGACAACCTCGGTTCATCATTTCAAAGTTATTTCCTTATTGTACCAAATTTCTCAATGCCATCAACAATGGTGGCCTCCAGAGAATGGTAAAGGACAGGAAGGCTTGGAGGAACGTTGTCCATGGGGTTGCGATGGGCCGGACATGACTTCGCAATAACAAATAGATATCAATCTGAAAATTCATTCTTCAAGGAAATTATTCTCTGAGCCAAAACAGATTGCATTTGTATTTGAATTCATCTGCTTTCTGACTAGTTACATCTTCCTTTATCCTAGATTACCTTTGTTACTCTTCTTCCAGGACATTATTGACTCTACATATTATTTCAGAACATTAGTAGCTTTCTTGGTGACAAGACCTATTATTTTCTGACATCTTCATCCTCATAGTATAACATATAGCATAACAAATTCCCAAATCTCTTGATAACTTTTTCTAATGGTTTCATGCAGATTTTTATTTTTTATTTTTTTATTTTTTTTGTCAAGCATATATAAGTTAACAGGTAAAAGTATAAACATAATTTGAATACATGAAAAGTGTAAGTAAAAAGAAATATTAGGACAGGGACAGTAGGTACGCTGGTGCACTTATGCACACCCCTTACAGATCTCTTAGGAATGGGGTGAGGTCAACAGTAGACAGTTTAAGGTTAAAGTTTTGGGGGTTTGGGGAAGAAACTACAGTGTCAGGTAGTGGATTCCAGGCATTGACCACTCTGTTACTGAAGTCATATTTTTTGCAATCGAGTTTGGAGAGGTTTACCTTGAGTTTGTATCTATTATTTGCTCATGTATTGTTGTGGTTGAAGCTGAAGTAGTCATTGACAGGTAGGACATTGTGGCAGATAATTTTATGTACTATGCTTAGGTCTGACTGAAGTTGGCATAGTTCTAAATTGTCTAAACCCAAAATTTGGAGTCTGGTGGCATAAGGTATTTTATTGCAGGTAGAGGAATGGAGGACTCTTCTCGTAAAATATCTCTGGATTCTCAATTGTATTTATGTCCAATATGCAGTGCGGGTTCCAGACAGATGAGCTGTATTCAAGAATTGGTCTAGCAAATGTTTTGTATGCTCTAGTTAGTAGTACAATATTACCAGAGAAGAAGCTACGTAAGATTAGGTTAACAACTCTTAATGCCTTTTTGGCAATGTTGTTACAGTGGGCTCTGGCACTTAGATATTTAGAAATGAGTACTCCAAGGTCATTGAGAGAGTGAGGGTCATCTACAAGGTCATGTCCATTTAATTTGTATTTTATGTTTTGATTTTTTTTGCCAATGTGCAAGACAGAGCATTTAGTTTATTTAGTTTATTTGATTTGTATACCGCCCTACTCCCGAAGGACTCAGGGCGGTGAACAGCCAACAATAAAATACATAAATACACAAAATTTAAAAAACCCGATAAAATCAAATTAAACTTTTTGGCCCAGACAAATTAAAATACCCCAATAATTTAAAAACAGATTAAAATTTACATATTTAAAAAGGGAAGAGATCAGGCCAAGCCCGCTTGATGGAATAAAAAGGTCTTCACAGCACGGCGGAAGGAGCGCAGATCCGGGATCCTCCGTATCTCCGGGGGGAGCTCATTCCAGATGGTAGGTGCCCCCACAGAGAAGGCTCTCCCCCTAGGGGCCGCCAGTCGACACTGTTTGGCTGACGGCACCCGGAGGAGTCCCTCTCTATGAGAGCGTACTGGCCGGTGGGAGGCTATTGGTGGTAGTAGGCGGTCTCGTAAATAACCAGGCCCTAAGCCATGGAGCGCTTTAAAGGTGGTAACCAAAACCTTGAAGTGCACCCGGAAGACCACCGGGAGCCAGTGCAGCTCGCGCAGGAGAGGTGTTACATGGGAGCGCCATGTCGCTCCCATTACCACCCGCGCGGCCGCACTCTGCGCCAGTTGGAGCCTCCGGGTGCTCCTCAAGGGGAGCCCCATGTAGAGAGCATTACAATAGTCCAGGCGGGAGGTGACGAGGGCATGAGGGCATTTGTTGGTTGAGATTTGAAGTTGCCACTTGTTAGACCAATGTGACACATAGTCAAGGTCTTTTTGAAGGGTAGTTGCATTGTTGGTGGTATTGAATAGTTTAACATCATCAACAAAGAGAACATAGTTGCTTTTAATATGATCACAAAGGCCATTTATGTAAAGTATGAAGAGTGTTGGACCTAAAATGCTGCCTTGGGGAACACCACTATTAACATGTACAGGATTTGATAGAGCGCTTCCTATTTTGACCACTTGTTGTCTGTTTGACAGGAAAGCAGCTATCCATTTATGTAGGAGTCCAGAAATGCCATAGGATTTTAGTTTTAGAAGTGATTTGTTGTGTACCACTGAATCAAAAGCTTTACAGAAGTCTATGTAAACTGTTCCTATTGCTTTGCCCTGATCGAGATGTGTAGTCCATATGTTTTTGCAATGTAGTAGTTGTAGATTACAGGATAATTTTTTTCTGGAACCAAATTGTTAGAAAGTAGGTTGTTTGTCTCTAGGTGGAGGGTAATAGATTGGTTAATGATTGATTCTATGACTTTGCAGGTGATGCAACATAAAGAGATTGGTCTGTAATTTTCAATTAAGCTAGGGTCTCCCTTTTTGAAGATAGGGATGACCTTGGCTTGTGATCATTGGTAGGGCAAGGTGCTGGTACTGAAAGATTTTTTCAAAAATTATGCTTAGAGGTTCTGCAATTGCAGTGGAAAGCTTTTTTAAGAAGTATGCACATAGTCCATCAGGTCCAATAGATAGAGATGGTTTTAGATTGCATAGTGTCTTTTCAACATTGTCTTCTGTAAAATCAATATGTATAAGATCACCGTAATCATTGTAATTGTCTGTAGTACGACTGGGAAATATTGCGTAAGTGTTGTTGCTATTTACAAAGATTGAGCCGAAGAACATGTTAAAGAGATTGGCTTTAACGGTTTCGTCAATACAATGTTTGTTGTTTGGTATTAAAATATTAATATTAAAAAAATGGAAAATGGGCTCAAACCCTGAGGGTCATTATAGGTAAAGAATTATAGGACTAAACATGTCACCAAAGCTCTCTTCCACCAAGCAAAAATCCTGTGAGGACAGCAAATACAACTGAGAAGTTCAACAAAACCAACAGATATGAATTCTCTTTATCTAATTGGCAGTATAAATGATCTGCTAGATTTTATCCAAAAACCTGCCTTAAACCAGATTAAACTGGGCTAGATAATTCATTTAATTCATAAACCTCTAAAATTAAACTATAGCAAGTTCAAGTATCTTGCCCAAAGATAACAAACTGAAAACACAAAGCAGTCCAAGAGGCTTCACCAACAAATAGTTCACAATGACATTTTAAAAATCCAATTGTGTAATTCAGGTGTTTCTCAATCTCAGCAACTTCAACATGTGTGAACTTAAATTCCCAGAATTCCCCAGCTAGCTGTTTCTTCAGATTGACAAACACCAGTGTAATTCCTTTGTCCTTCCAAAGGTGTGTTTACCATCTCTGTATCTACTTGAACATACTTCCTGGTTGTCTAAATCAGCCAGAAAAGCCAAGGACCAATTAGGTATATCATAGATTACATTATTTCAGAAAAAATATGCATATTCAGACTGCATAAATGAAATATGTCTATACTAGCCCAACAAATTTACATTAAAGGAATATAATTACAGTTATGGACTTTAAGTTAGAGGAAGATAAACACAAAATCTGGCAAATATAAACCAGTGAGCCACTGAGATGTCTTCTTGAGTTTCCACAGTTACTGTTATAAAAAAAATTTCTACTCGGAACAGCCCAGCAGGATAACTCTGTGTATGTGCAAAGATGGCAGCAATGTTATATTGCTTCATTACCTTCAAAATTCCAAATCTGCCTATATCGGTGTTCTTCAACCTTGGCAACTTTAAGATATGTGGACTTCAACTACTAACATTTCTGGCTCGGGCATTCTGAAGTTGAAGCGCACTTACCTGAAAGTTGCCAGGATTGAAAAACATTGGCCTCTCTCACCAATTCAAAATATAGTGATGAACAGTTGTATTCCAATACATCTTCCAACACGTTTCCCCAGATTTGGGAGAACTAGATTACCTTTCAAACTACAATCCTATGCTTACTATTGTTAGAAGAATTATCCTTCTGGGTTCAGTTCCAAGTGGGGAAAAAAGACACTGGAAACATGGAGACTGCTTGGAAAGATGGTTTAATGGTGGACAGGATCACAAGGTTTGAGTTCCTGAACAGAAAAAGGGCGAGATGCAGCGAGTCCCTGGGTTTTATGCTCTCTCTGGCTTTGAACTTCCTGGGGCTCAGAAAGAGTATCCTGATTGGTTGTCAAGATTCCCAGGGGGTGGGGATCTTAGCTAGCCTTGCTGGCTGATGTAATCTTCCCAGGTGCCATGTGGTGAGTTTCTGTTGCTAGATGGGTCCTATTGTGTTAGTTTCTGTTGCTAGATGGGTCCTATTGTGTTGCAGATGATGGTCCATTGACAAAGGGGGGGGCAATAAGGTGGGAGCTGCTTCGTCTTTAAAACATGTTTCTCCATTTCTCATCCAGGGAAACATAATATTCTGCCTTTTTAATATTTCCTAAAATATTTCATTCTTCTAGGAAAGGGGCTGGTGCTAACTTCCTACACTATCTAGAATCCGCCTGAAAGAAACAGAGGACTTGCTTGTATAAGTAAACAGGTTTAGACTTTTTTTCATGGCCAGACCATTCAGAAGTGTAGATAATGAAGGACTAAGGGACTAACTCTAGAACAGAAGCCCTGTATACTTTCACCAATAACTGATCAATGGGAGTAACAATGATTTTGGTTTTTGTTTTCCTACTGCAAAGAATACAAACATTTGGGTAAACGATTAGGGTATGGCAGGGTTTGTGACACGTTTTTGGAGATTTTTGCTTAACTACCGTTTATTGAACAAATTAAAAACTTTGCAGCCACCATCTATTAAGACTTTTCCACAGCCGTGTCTTTTTCCACTGGGGGGGGGTCTCATCTGCTGCCTCTTTAAGGCTTCGCCTACTCCAATCAACTTCCCAGGCTTCCTCCGGCCCCACAAGACACGTCACTGGCAAACCGGGAAGCCGATGGGTATCGTCCCTTCCCAGCCTTGATTGTAGCGAGTGGGCTACCGACGTGAAACCATGAATAACGTCGTGGAACAAGAGCCTTCGAGAAGGTCGGTCGGGGCCGGGCAGCTTCAATGCAGGCAGCGGGGAAAGTCACACACCTCCCTCCCTGCCCTTATCGGCTTTTTCCATCTTCGGTTCACAGCGAGCAGATCGCTGCAGAGTGGTGACTCAGAAGGGGCGGGGCTACGGCCTGTTTCTCCTTCTTGAGGCGTGACTCATCAGTGGCCGCGCGGAAGCCCCACTCCAAAGGAAGGCGCATTACCTCTGCCTATTTATAGCCTCCGAAAAGGCTGAAGAATGACGTCAGGCAAACGGTAGGTGGGCGGTGACCGGGTTTCGGCCTCGCCCCACGATTGGCTTGGCTGCACTCCCCCCCCCCCCCCCCCCCCCCCCCCCCAATCTTTTGGGATGTCTTTTTGAACCTGGAGCCATCAAACGTGCGGTGCGAGAACCCGGGTGACCGTTAGGCGGCAGCAAATGGATCCCCGAATCGACGGAGTCTCTAGACGTATAAGAAGAAGTCGTCCGGATTTTTTGGTGCTCTGAAAAACGACATGGTTGAGGCGGAGGTGATTTAACGGCAGCTGTACCGTTTTCCAGCATAGGTTGCTCACCTCCTAAGGCAGAGGTCTTCAAAATTGGCAGCTTTAAGACTTGTGGACTTCAACACCCAGAATTCTCCAGCCAGCAGAGCTGGCTGGAGAATTCTGGGAGTTGAAGTCCACAAGTCTTAAAGCTGTCAAGTTTGGGGACCCCTGTCTAAGGGTAGCCGAAGTCATGTTTCTCAAACTTACCAACTCCCCAGAACTGAATGGAGGATTCTAAGAAGTCCACACATCTTAAACTTGCCAAGTTTGAGAAACTCTGTTTCTAGGATCGCATGATATATATCCTACCCAAGGATCCAAGCAGAGGGTTATAGTTGTTTCCTTTTCAGTGTAAATTTATTCATATACAATTAATGTTTGAGTACAGGTAATCCATACAGGTAGTCCGATTTACCACAATTCATTTAGTCACCACTCAAAGTTAAAATGGCACTGAAAAAAGTGAGTTAGGACCATTTTTCACATTTACCACCTTTCCACAGTCTTGCGATCAAAATTCAGATGCTTGGCAACTAGTTCATATTTATGACCATTGCTGTGTCCCACGAGCATGCGATCACCTTTTGCAATCTTTTGACAAGCAAAGTCAATGGGGAAGCCAGATTCATTGAACAACCGGATTACTAATTTATCAACTGCAGTGATTCACTTAACAGTTGTGGCAAGAAAGGTCGTAAAATGGGGCAAAACTCAACAAATGTCTCACTTAACAACAGAAATTTTGGGCTCAGTTGTTGTAAGTTGAGGGTTTTTGCCCTGTTGATCATAAATGGAGTGGTTAAGAGAGGAGCAGGTACTCAAAGGTCTTTTACAGTTCTGGGTGTAGTAATCCTTGAGTGCTGCAATTTTATTTTTGTAACAGTTCTGAAGTAATGAAGCTACTATGAAGGATCATGGTGCAATGGAATTACCTGGCAATCTAGCAAACTATTTAAATTTCTAGAAGCCTTGTGAAATGAAGCTTCTGTTTACTTTAGTGTGAGGTTACCGGTATATTATGATTTCTTTTAACCTATCTAAAATGCAGTGGCTACTGCATTTTTTTTTCAAGGGGGTGGTTGTAAATTGCAATCTTTAATTTTATCAATAGATTTTAGTATGAATTGATATTTTAACTGGAGATAGTACAGTCACAAGCATCATCTGATCATCTGATTTGTTCAAAGGGAAAGCTTATGTTTGTATTATGAAAAGGAGTAATAAATGCCAGCTCAAAAATAATAACAGCTTAGAATAAGAAGAAAAGAAAATTAATCAATTATGAACTTTCAGACTGAATAGCTATGTTTTTGGATCTCTTGGTGGCATCTTCAGGGGCAGAGTAAGCTACTTTGCAGTGTACTTCACTGGTAATGGACTAAGTTCTTGTATTTATAATTGGCAAGATGCTCTGTTTGGCCTATATGATGGAATTCCAAGAAAGCTGATTTCTCATCTATATAGATTTCTGATTGTTCTATTTTGAAGAACTTCCAAAAGAATTGGTTCCTGATTTGCCTCTCCTTGAATGTGGCTGCCGATTGGTATATGAATGATAGAGTATATACACAAATAACTTTTGAATTTTGGTATGGAGATTTCTGAGAATACAATGGATTGGCAAAAACCCCAAACAAATGGATCACCAAACGAATCAGTGTAGAAGTCTTACTGGACACAAATGACCAGACTCTACTTATCCTACTTTAAACCCATTATGCAAAGCCCTAGCTCTCTGTAAAAGCTCTAATGCTGGGAAGGAAAGAACAGAGGGTGATCAGTAGGAAGATGGATACATGCAGTTGCAATAGCAATGAGTGCACTGTTGGAAGAGCTGAAGGACCAAAGGAGGGACAGATTGGCATGAAGAAAATCTATCTGTGCTGGTGCTAAGAATTGACAATAACTTGGTGGCCTGCAATCAATCAATCCAGACTTATGACAATTGATCAATTTTGGAGAAATCCAATAAAATCTGTTCCTCCTTAGCCAGTTTTTGAGTCAGACTACTACTCATTCTTTTTGTTGTGATTAGCTAAGGCTGTTAAGTCTTTTTGTGGCATAAGGCTAGGACCCATGTTTTATTGATTTCCAAATTCTCCTCCTTCTTGTTGAAGTTATTGGAATGTTTATGGATCTCGATAGTATGTCTGTGTAGTGGTATATGGTAGCTTGACAGGGTGGCCAATACTTGTGTGTCTTTGCATTAGGTGGTGGGTCAAATATGTTCTTTGACATTGATTATAGCAATGCCTTTCATATTCTTTAAGCCAAATATACTCTATACCACAATAGACTTGTGGTTCCAATATACACTTCTACACAACTACAAGGGATGGTAAACCCCTAATGATCTGCCATCCTTGAGTGATCAGATGATGTGCTAATGATGATTGGTTGGCTTGTAGAATGCTTTTAGGTTATGTCTGCTTTATATAGGTATTTCTCTAATAATTTTCCAATATGATCTATAACTTTCTCAATATAGGGGAGAAACATTTTCCTATTAGAAGTGGTTTGCCTTGCGTGCACAGTGTATTTATTGCTGTTAGTTTTATTACTCACCTGATCTTACTAGCATTAGTTTATAGAGCATTAACAAGGTGTCTGAAGTCATCTGATAATCTTGCAGTGTCCTAGATTACTCTGGAACAGTCAGTAGGAGTTTTGATGATGCTTCACTTCTGGGAGGATGATGGAACTTTTATATAAATAATGACTCATGTTTGTTGGTTTTCAATACAGTATGTCTTAGTTGCAGGTAGTCTTTGACTTATGATCACACAATTGAGACTGGAATTTCTGTTGCTAAGTGATGCAATTGTTAGTTGAGTTGTGCCCAATTTTACAATATTTGCCTGACCTAGAATCAGTTTTCTTGGGCTCCTGTGATATGGTCCAGTCAGAGAGCAGCTTGCCAAGTTCAAATAGAAGGGCCAAGAAATACACTACAATGTAGCTCACTCTGCCTCTGAAGATGCTACAATTGTCAGCGAAACATCAGAACACTAGAAAACTAGACCATGGATATTTAGAATGAAAACTCATCACTGCTTGCTTGACACCAGCTGTGAAAGCCTTACACAAGTACATAAGGAAAATTACTTTATGCTGTTGTCATTTAAATTGCTTTGTCATACTGTTCTGTTTTTTCAAATTATTTTGTTTTCACATGTCCACATAGCTGTTAAAACATTAACTTTTGGTTTTTAAAACTTTTCCCTTCTGTCTTTTAAAGTTCATGTTCATTAACTTCATCAAGCATCATTGTCTTAGTCTTACCTTTGTATCAGTTTATTCAATCTTCCTTTGCATATGTGTTTTGCAACTTGATTCTCATTTGTTGTGTCTATATGACTAGTCAGTTTTCTTTCATACTGATCACTCATTTTTGTATTTAATTTATATTCAGCATCCATTCATTCTAAATCTTATTATTTTTGTTTTACTGCATGCATTTCTTAAATGTGTTGAATTTATTTTTAGATTTCCCTGACATATCAAACTCTCACTTCAGTATAATTAAGTAGAGTAGAAACAATCATCAACTGCATATTCATGGAAAACATTCCAGAATTCAAGTCTACTTACTTTATCATATGTTTAAATTATTAAATAATTTAATAAACTTTCCTTTCTTGCAATCATACATATCTGTGTGACTTTCTAAAGAGTAAAACCCTTTTTGAGGCACATTCTTTGCCTGAGAAGAAACTACAGTGAATTTCTTAAATGTTGCTTATTGTCGTTTCTCATATTTTTTTGATTAGAATTTTGCCAAATATTTTGTAAGTATTTTTTATAAATTACATCCCCACCACTCACTTTGACTGTGTTTCTTTTTATGGGGAAATAATTATGACATGCTTCCAACCATCAAGCATAGATGTAGTCCCAACACACATTAAAAAAGTCACATACTACTCAGTAAGCAACACCATCCATATTTTAACATTTCTCTAACCATTTTCTACATCTGCAGCCTGACTATTTTTAACATTCATAGTAGCAATTTCTTATATAACTTAAATTTATTTGTTTAAATTCAACTCAACTTAAGGTATCATTGTAGATCTCTTACTTTATAATTGTCCCAATTAATTCCATTATTTTTATTTTTAATTCCATTCACTGTGATGGAAACGCCTGGTTTTACCCTCTTTGCCCACTTACAAAACATTTCTTTAATTTCCATCAAAATCACTGCATTTTCTTTGCCTCTTCTAGTTAACTATTCCTTCAGCTTTCTGTCTAACTTACCTTTCTCTTTGTATATACATTATACTTTATCTCATTCTCATTTTTTAATCTGGTTCTTGATTTTGCTACTATACAAAACATCCTTTCTCATCCTTTTCAAAAGTTCAAACCATTAATATAATTGTTGTATCTTTCACATTATCTTTATTGATGCCCATTTACTATTTATCCCTCTCAAATTTTAAATGGTCTATATGCAGGATATTTTCTTCTTCTGCAGTCATTCTACTATCACTCTAGTTTGTTTTGCCTTTTCTTTCCTGTCCATTTCCCACCCCCCCAAATTCATTCTTGAAATAACCAAAATGCTCTGTCTCACATTCAAAACCTCTAATCGTCTCAATTTTTCATATTAACAGTTCACTAGTTCTTTGAGTTAATTCCTTTGCCATGTGTACATGTGAATAGATGTATCTGAAGTTTGTAGACTGACAATTTCATTCAATATACACACACCACAACATAGTTGTTTTGGATTTTGTTTTAGGATGTTGTCTGAATCCTAGCAGGTATAGCTTGTAATCCACTGTTTTATAGTTTGGAATATTGTGCTATCTTAGCAATTTGTATTCATTCAATCATTGTTTTAATTTCTGGGATGTTTTAATCTTTGTACACTGTTTAGAGTCACTTCTCTGACATGGGTAGCTCTATAAATTGCTTAAATAAATCAATACTTTAAATCAATAAGTCATCATTAATCAAATCATAGCTTAGCATGTTGTGTGACTATAACCACTATTTTTATATCACCATGGAACAAGCATTTTTTTCCACATTTCTAAGACTGGACAACAAGTTCCTGTTAATATAATTGTCCTCTTCCTGTTCCTGGTTATATAAATAGAATAAACAGATGGAGTACCCGTGATTCTTCTAAATTTAGTTTTATTTCTCAATTTGGTAGCAAAAACCAGAACTGAGCAAAAGCAGTCTCTGGGTCTTTTCACGTGACCTACTCATTTCTTAATTTCCAAAATCTGGTGGCTGGATTTCTACATGTTCAGCTATCAGGAGTTAAACTGGAATATTGACTTAGAATTTGCAAATGAGTTCTTTTCCACTCCAGACAATCTGAGAGTAGAGACCACCTTAACTCCACAGGTAGCAAAAGATGCTCTTCAGCCTGAGAATCATTGCAGAAAGCAAGCTGGTAGTGTAATATTAGAAAGAATAATGTGAGACACTAAGAGAGTCACTCTGCATGTCTTGTGGGGCCACAAATGATCAGATCCCAGCAACTATAACATATCAGACTTTGGGGCTGAGTATGTTATATTAGGCATAACAGTAGAAGATAACTGGAACTTGGGGAGGCAGCCAAAGGTTGGATAATGTCATTATTTTTCCTCATTTTCAGGCATTTATCTTTATTATGAAATACAGATTGATGTCATATATGAGGGCAAGAGAGAGAACACAGCCAAATTGTAACATTAAATGAATTATGGATTAGATGCCTTAACAATTTTTCAGAACCCTGTAGTAGTGAGTTTAAGCTAAAATTACTTCCATCAAGGTTGCAAAATCTCCAGCCTGCTGGAGGTGAAGCTCAAAGCAGGAACACCCTGTAGACTTTATGGAGAAGAATGTACAGTAATATCACAATCTGAATTTGACACTAGTCCATAAGTGAGTCATTTTCTCTAGAATTCTTCAGTGAAAGAAGCTAAAAGCACTCGAAGTTGGTCAGTGATATGTAACAAATTTCACTTACTACTTGTTCCCATGTACTGCAGAAGAAAGTTAGCTGTTTTTAAACTTGTTATAGGTTTTTATAATAATGGCAGTAAAGAAAGCTGATGTGATAAATGCATTCCAGATTCCTGCATATTTTGTGGGTGGGTAGGCTTTTTACATTTGAAAAAATGTACCAATGTATACTCTAAACAAAGAAAACCTTTTTCTTTCTCTTTTTTCAGAATTATAGGTATATGCACAGAGAGTCAATAGACTTCTTAATGCTATTATAAATTTCAACAGTGATTGGCATACGCACTTGCAAGATTGACAAGATTTTTTGCTTGACTACTAGCTTTGCTAGAGCTTAGATTGGAAAGGTCTGTTTCCTTCCTTCTCAAACCTGTCAGTAAGAAAAGGATAATAGTAAGAAGGAACCCTATCATTTTGAGAATACAGAATGGAGTTTGCACTAGCTGAAAGAGAATATAGCCTTTTAAGAAGAAGGAGTAATTATATGGTGAAAGGTGGCAATTAAAACAAAGTAATATTACCAAAGTAATATTATCAATAAAGTAGTTGAAATATATTGACTGAGATGTGGCCTTTTTCATTCACGAGAACTTCACCTGAAGGCCAGATTTAAGGTAGTTACCATCTTGATTGGGAACCTAAGTTTCAGTTGAGATGTTCACTTTGGTCATACTACATATCAAATCCTGGTTTGTTTAATCATTTGTTTATTCACTTGATTTGTATATTTGCCCATCTCAAATATATGACTAGGGCAGCTCACATATTTAAAAACATCTAAAAAACACAACCAATAAACAAGGTACAATACAATAAACAGTACAAATACAATAACCCCTAAAACCAAATGAAAAACCTAATTAAAACCAAAACAACATAAAAAGCAGGCATATACAAGTCATGGTTCAATCAGTATAATGATCTAACAGATTCCAAGCCATAACCAGCTGGTCCAGAACGCAGCAGCGTGGGTAGTGACGGGAGCAGCATGGCGCTCCCATGTAACAACGCTCCTGCGCGAGCTGCACTGGTGCCCGGGGCCTTCCGGGTGCGCTTCAAGGTGTTGGTTATCACCTTTAAAGCGCCATGGCATAGGGCCTAGCTATCTTCGAGACTGCCTGCTGCTACCGACGACCTCCCATCGACCCGTGCACTCCCTCAGAGAGGGCCTCCTCAGGGTGCCATCAGCCAAACAATGTAGGCTGGTGACCCCCAGGGGGAGAGCCTTCTCTGTGGGGGCACCTACCCTCTGGAATCAGTTGCCCCCAGAGATAAGGAGAATCCAAGACCTCAGTGCCTTCCGCCGTGCCCTTAAAACCCACTTTTTCCAGCAAGCCGGGCTGGCTTAAGAAGAAATTTTTAAATTTTTAAAATATTTTAATTGGTTTGTGATTTTTAAATTTTTGGGCCAAATTTTTATATATTTTAATTATTCTTAATATTTGTAGTTTATGTTCTTAATTCTGGCTGTGCACCGCCCTGAGTCCTTAGGGAGAAGGGCGGTATATAAATTGAAAAATAAATAAATAAAACCAGATCTGCAGGCCCATTGACATTACTGTGTCTTTAGAGCCTTTCAAAAGGCAAACAGAGCTGTGTCCGATCCAAGATTTGGGGGGCGGGGGCTGATGTTCAGGTGGGTGCTGTGACAGAAAAGACCTTTAGAGCCTGGATCTTATCAGATGACATTTCTTAATGATCGGGATCTGTAACATACTCTTTCTGCCAGACCTCTTTGCCTATCCTCTTTCCGGGTAGATAGTACCTGGAGAGAGACTCCCTCAAATAGCCCTGCTCCAATATAGATTATTTATTAGCACCTTGGACTGAATCTAGAAGTAGCCTATGGAGCAGAGATGCATTGTGTGCTGAACATAACTGCTCGCTCCACTTCATTTTGCATCAACAGAAATTTCTGGATGCTCTTCAAAAGCAGCCATACATTACATGTATCTATCGAACAGATTGAGATAATATAACACTTTAAACTGAAAGCTTGTGTCTTGCACTGGCTTCCAACCATGTAGAGCCACTAGCCAGGTGCTCAATGACCTTTTGGATAGTACATGCTGTAAATTGCCCAGAATACAAGATAGGCAAAAAAATTTCATAAATAAATAAGTAAATACATGGCTTCTTTGGGGAAGATGCAACTGAGATGGGAGAAAACACTTTGGATCAGTCTATAGAGACTTTTAGGGGGTACTGATGGCAGCAGGAAGGGAGCAAAGCAGCAAGCTTTATTTTTGTGAAATTTCCTCTTGTAATAGTTATACGACTATCACAAAGACTATGTCTTAAAATTGAAATGAATTTAATATTGTATTAATTGTGTTGCTTAGCTAAACTGACAAAATCCCACAATTACTCATTTTTGCCATCATTACTCTGTTTCCAACCAACCTTTAAAAAAATATTCCAAAACGCTTTCATGTTTGTACCCATCTCATAATGATGGTAGAAACAATGTTTTCTACACTTAGAACTTTCCCTCAAATCATGACCACAAATCCATGTGACCCATATGATAAGAGAGATGCTTAGATCATCTAATTGCCTGCCTCTTGAGCATGACTGTTGACTACTCAAGTTCCTGCTTTTTGTACTTAGGGAAACACAAAGAACTCTATGTGACATAGTGAAAAAGAGCAATGACTCAGCATTTGTCCAAAACTGGCACTTAATTATTTCTGTGTTGCTTCCTTTTAATACTGTGATTAGCAATCAAAGCTATAATAAAGAAGAACATCCAAATTGGATCATTTATAAGGACTTACTAAAAACAGTTAGCTACAAACACATTTTATTTATGCTAAAAACACACATGAATATTTTTGTCTGTTTCTCTGCTTTGTCTCTTTGTAAATATGTAAGCTAAATAAATATGAAGCAAATTTCTTAGAACTGTGATTTGCAAACTATGAAGAAGTCCAAGGAGTTATTGGTAATTGCTGCAGGAGGTGTTTTCCCCAAATTTTCCCCTAGAATAATTTTGTCCGTAGATTGATTAGAGAAAATGGGGAAGACTATCTGAGCCACATGCTCTTCCATGTATTGTTCTAGAACCGTGATGGTGAACCTATGGTACGCATGCCACAGGTGGCACGCAGAGCCCTCTCTGCAGGCACGCCAGCCATCGCCCCAGCCCAGCTCCACCACGCATGTACACGTGCCTCCCGCCAGTCAGATGGTCTTCGGGTCTATGCCGCACATGCGTGGTGCGCATGTGGGGGACACACGTGCGCCTGGGCGCATGCATGGGTGCGCTCACATTGCATTTGGGGGGTTCACATGTGTGCCCCCTGTACCCCATTATGGGCCTGGAAGGCCTTCTGCACCAACCTGTAAGCCAAAACAGGGCTCAGGGGTGCCGTGCGAGGCCCCACTGCACCCTGTTTTGGCTTCCAGGTTGTGCAGGAGGCTTTCCAGGCCCAAACGGGGTGGGCCTCCTGCTGGCAAAGAGGCTGTGGTGGCAGGCCGTTCGCGCCAGCAAAGAGGCTGCGGGTGCAGTTCTAGTTATGGTTCTTTCCTGATTGAAAGGGTGATCGTTCACTCAAATGCCATCTTGTTTGATGGGACAAGAATGGTTGTGATGGGAATGAAATGGTTCAGAAAACTTAGCTGATGATTTTATCTGGCTGGTTCTCAGCACTAAGAAAATAAGAATCAGTTGAGGGCCAGTTTGGTCTAGTGAATAAGGCACTAGCCTAGAAACCAGGAACCATGAGTTCTAGTCCTGCCTTAGGCAAAAAAAGCTGACTGGGTGACTGTGCCAAACACTCTCTTTTAACCCAACTCACCTCACAGGGTTGTTGTGGGGAAAATAGGAAGTGGAAGGAGTATTGCGTGTATTGGCTGCCTTGAGTTATTTATAAATATAATAAAGGCAAGATTAAAACATTTTTTAAAAAGACAGCAAACAAACAAAAAGTAAGTAAGATGAAAGGTGAACCCCTTTAGTGTGGGAATCAGTACAAATACTAACAAAGATTTAAAAAGCAGTCAAATAGCAGGAGAGAACGAACCAATGCTCTTTTATGCAAAGCAGCATTGGGAAAGAGAAATGAGATGCATGGGCAGAAGCCAAGAGGCGGGGTAATAAGGCAGAGAGAGCAGCAGAGCAGAGTGCAAGGGATGGGGAAAATGCAGGGTGTGATTCTTTGGGGCTGTGTCTATGGAGAGTTAATGAAAAGAAGGACTAGGGGAGACATGATAGCAATGTTCCAATATCTCAGGGGCTGCCACAAAGAAGAAGGAGTCAAGCTATTCTCCAAAGCACCTGAGGGTAGAACAAGAAGCATTGGGTGGAAATTAATCAAGGAAAGAAGCAACTTGGTGGTCTTTCGGGTGCGCTTCAAGGTTTTGGTCACCACCTTTAGAGCGCTTCATGGCTTAGGACCTGGTTATTTATGGGACCGCCTACTACCACAAGCAGCCTCCCACCGGCCGGTATGCTGTCATAGAGAGGGGCTCCTCCGGGTGCCGTCGGCCAAACAATGTCGACTGGTGGCCCCCAGGGGGAGGGCCTTCTCTGTGGGGGCACCCACAGGGGGCAACTTAGAACTAAGGAGAAATTTCCTGACAGTTAGAACAATTAATCAGTGGAACGACTTGCCTCCAGAAGTTGTGAATGCTCCAACACTGGAAGTTTTTAAGAAGATGTTGGATAACCATTTGTCTGAAGTGGTGTAGGGTTTTCTGCCTAAGCAGGGGGTTGGATTAGAGGTCCCTTCCAATTCTGCTATTCCATTCCATTCCATTCCATTCCATTCCATTCCATTCCATTCCATTCCATTCCATTCCATTCCATTCCATTCTATTCTATTCTATTCTATTCTATTCTATTCTATTCTATTCTATTCTATTCTAGATTCTCAGTTTTCCAGACCAAGGTTGTCCCTAATGGTGCTTTTTTCAAAAGACAGCTGGACTTCACTTTTCCTTGAAGACGTTTCGCTTCTCATCCAAGAAGCTTCTTCAGTTCTGACTCTGGTTCTTTGGGGGCTTCTCAGACCCTTGGTCAACTGCAATTTGCCCACTGAAAATTTAGAGAAAAATTTCCCGATGCTGGCGTCCTGATTTGCGTATTAGGTGCAGAGAGAACAAATACCAGTATTCTCAATTGGGGATGGTGATTCTAACTGGAAGTCATTGGGCATTAGGGAAATCTGCTTTTTATGTGGCATCAGTCTGCCACACAGGACAGGATTCAAAAACTGAAAGTATTCTGCAGTTGGGTTTTTGTTTTGGGGTGGTTTTGGCTTTTTTTTTTACACTACCATTGAAGGAAACTCTTGCACAAGCAATTTAGTCACAAAATTATGCATATACATACACTTTCTTAAAGGGTATTGCATACATCAGTCCCATGTCCAAAGGTAAAAGATGTGATGTCTGCAAAAGTTGCTGACCTCATTCTCCTTGGAATGCTGTGCACTGCTTGCATCACATGAAAAGTAAAATTTAGACCAAGGATATTTCACTAATAAGTACAAGGTATGCGTGATTACTTATGAAACACCTCTATTTCCTAATGACCTTGTGGTGCTGTTCCTA